AAAAAACCGATTCCGCTCACCGTGAACTCCATGAACGAAGGCCTTTCACGATTTTCGTGAAAGGTGACCGGCCTTCGTTCATGGACCTCGTGAACGGTGACCGGTGGTACGACACTGGCAACGATGGAAGGGGTTACAATGGCCAGTGTTGTGATGATAGCGATAGCGATGGCCAGCGCTCCGATGGGAGCAATAGCGATTGTTTGCGTCGTGATAGTAAGGCGAGCGCGATGGCTGGAATGGGGGATATAGCTCCCATCCTCGCTGGCAATGAGCTAAGCGCATCGATGGCGATGGTGCATGGCGCGCGTTGGAATGGACATCCAACGCCGTTGACATTTGCAAAATGTTCCAATGACAACGAGACCGAAACTTATAGATTTTTGGTGTTGACCTCGGCGCACAACGAATCACCGCGCCTCGGTGCGCAATGAATCATCGCCTGGCCTAACCGCGCAACGAACTGCCTCGCCAGATTCCTGCGCCTGACCTCGGGGGGGTAACGAAGGTCCACTTCGTGAGTCGGATCATGTCGATCGACGGTCCAGACTAGAACAGCGAGAATGACCTTGCCTGACCCTTGTTTTCGGGAACAGTCAGATCAATGCACGCCGGAGTTGACAAAGATTTTAGGGCCTCTGTAATGTCAGTGGCTCCGTTAATCTGCGCCGTTGAAAATTGTTGGTCGACGACCGACAATTTCCGGTACCTCTGACCTTTCGAGGCCCAAGCTGCCCTTACCCGTTTATAGGCCCTGGCGTCTTATGGGGCCAAGCGTGCGATATGCGAATCGATACGGCCCCTCCTTGATCCAGACGCGAGGCCTGCTGCAGGAAAGTATAAAAGGCGTTGCCGCCCTCGTGTTATCCCTTTTGTTGCCTCTCCACAGGTCAAGTCGCGCTATCGCTTCGGCTATCGTTTCCGCGCGCACCCGCCACCTCCTTCCGCCATAGCTCGTTCGCTCTTCGTAGCTCGTTCGCTATCGTTTCCTCGCGCACCCGCCACTTCCTTCCGCCAACGCCGCAGTTGCCGCATTGTGTTCGGTTCACTCTCCGTAGGTTGCTCTTCGTGGCTGAATTTCCATTCGCCACAGGCGGTTCGCTCTTCGTAGCTCGATATCCCTCCACCTAGTTGGTTCGATCGTCGTACATCCATATCCGTCTGACGTTGGTCACTCGCACAACGCACGACGAAGGTGAGATGCCGTAATTTCAGTTGTCTTATTCTGTGTCCGATGCCCGAACAGATTCCCAGATGCCCTGTCTCTACTTTCACGCTATAACGCCGCAGTTGCCGCATGTTGAACCCCGAATCTATTCCCGGTTTTGTTGTTTCGCCACCGCACGTGTTCTGATATCTTTTCTTCACCCTCCTCCTCCGTCCGCCATAGCCGATCCGCGTTTCGTAGCTTGATTACCTTTCGCCATAGCCATGATATCATTTGTATAAAGCTGCTCGGTTCCCTTCACAACTTGTAGTCGTCACTGCGCATGGTGAACCCCGAATTAATACCCTGTTTTTGTTGAACACCGAATCAATTCCCGATTTTCGCTCACCTGTCCCTTGTGAGGTCGCCGACCTTATATATATATATATATATATATATATATATATATATATATATATATATGTATATGTGTACTCGTCAGTGCCGCTCCTAGAAGACCGAATAAATTCGCAGTTTTGTTCATCCATCCCAGCGAGGTCAGAACTGATCCACAACTGCGAGTCAGTTCGCAGTTTGCGACCAACACTGCAGAAGGAGTCACAACTGCGAGTTAATTCGCAGTTTCCCCAAGATTAGACGCCTTTTTCTTTAACTGCGAGTCAGTTCGCACTTTATGACCAATACTGCTGGACGAGTTAGTGCCCTCCGTATCCGGAACTCGGAGTTAGTTCGCACTTCTAGACACCCATGTCTTGCGTCTTTCAGGTCCTCATTTCCACAACTCCGAGTTAGTTCGCATTTTCCCCAAGACAAACCGCCTTCTCCTTAAACGAGACTTTCACGTTTCCATAACTGCGGATTGCAATTGTTGTCTTGTCTCCAGAACTGCGAGTTAGTTCGCACTTGTCGATTTCCAAGCGGTACTTGTTGCAAAGGTCTTCATTCCCAGAACTCTGAGTTGGTTCGCACTTTGCCGAACATAAACCGCCTCTTCCTCGTTTCGAGGACAGCGAATTGATTCGCACTCTTTCCGAATTGCTACGGTCTTCATTCCCAGAACTCCGAGTTAGTTCGCACTTTCCCGAACATAAACCGCCTATTCCACTTGTGGAAATAAAAAACAGTCAGTTCGCACTATATGACCAACACTGCTGGAGGAGTTGTTGCCCTCCGTATCCGGGACTCAGAGTTGGTTCGCACTTGTAGACACCCATGTGTTGCGTCTTTCAGCTCCTCATTTCCACAACTCTGAGTTAGTTCGCACTTTTTCCAAGATAAGCCGCCTTCTCCTTACACGCGACTTTCACGTTTCCACAACTGCGGGTTGCAATTGTTGTTTTGTCTCTAGAACTGCGAGTTAGTTCGCACTTGTCGGTACCCTTCCCACTTGTCGATACCCGAGCGGCACTTGTTGCGAAGGTCTTCATTCCTTGAACTCCGAGTTAGTTTGCACTTTGCCGAACATAAACCACCTCTTCCTCGTTTCGAGGACAGCGAGTCGGTTCGCACTCTTTCCGAATTGCTAAGGTCTTCATTCCCGGAACTCCGAGTTAGTTCGCCTTAACCTCGTGGCTTTCCTCCCGGTCATCCGATTTGGTCTGGGGTTGGTGTGTTGGTCTAGGGATGGGAGTAAAATAGCGTCCGTGAAAAACACAACCACAATCGTTGGGCCGTCTGCCCCCGGGGAGGGACGACCTCTTCAACAATCTACTCCTCCGTATTTCCATGCAAGGGATGCACAATGGTTTTTGGACTTCGTTGTTGAGGGGAACCTTGTTGGGCTTGCTGTTTTCATGCGACCCACTTGCGTTCCAGGCGTTGAGGGAGCGGACGACGTTGTTCCTCTCGGTACTATCGTCTCGTACGGTAAGATTTCTGGAGGTTTGTTAAATCTGCAAACTAACGTCTTGTACGATGAGTGCAAACTGTTTTTTAGAGGTGTTAAGAGTGTGATAGTGACCATCAAGAGTTTGACGGGTTACGGGTCGAACATGCCGCTGTGCCGTCACTTCGCAGGGCTTTACGATGACTACAGCAAGCGTCTCCCAACGCCAGTGCAATACCTCAACCTCGCGCTGAAGGTGTCGAAAGAACGTCCAGTTCTTCCGCGAGAATATGTTTTCCGGCTTGTGACGACCCACGAGGGGTCGTCCAGCTTGGCTCAAGAAAACCGTGAGACGCCAGTGGGGCACGGGAGTGCGGTTCGCGGCACAGGGGGTCAGAGCAAGAGGTGCAACATTCAGACGCAGGTCGGCCCGGATTCTCCTGGGAACACGTCTGGCTTGCATTCTCTACATGCTGCGCGACTCACAGGGTTGGTACTCTGAAAACACTCAAGGTCGTCTGCCAGGGTGACACGTATTCGATTCGAGATGAGACGAGAAGAGAATCCGGCATATCGGGGCAAGAGGTTGGAGGGAGTGAGGTTGGAGGCCTTGGAGGGATGGGCGTTGTCCGCGATAGCTCTGGCGGGGAGCCGACTTCTTCGGAGAAGAAGCGCGAGCGACAGAGAATGGTGCGAGAGGAGGTTGCAGAAGAAATCCGCCGCATGAAAAGGATGAAAGGACATTCGGAACCGATGATTGGCGGGGATGGAGGTGACATCGAAGAACGTGCCTCGGGAAAGAGGACGCCAGGGATGCGTGGCAGACAAGAACAAGGAGTCGAAAATAGGTTGTCGAAGGAAGAGGGTGCAACGGCAAGTAAGAAAGCGAGGAGGCCCGACGGTTTGACCATCCGCGATGGGCAAGCTATGGGTGGAGGAGATTCGGCTCATCCGGGCGTTGCCGCTGCGATAGAACCTTCAGAGAAATCCAAAAGGAAACTGGTAGCTGAAGAAGGCGATGGCCAGAAGAAACCTCGGAGGAGGAAGACTGCTGAGGGGACGACTGGTAGCGAAATGGCGGTCGGCAGGCAGTACGACGAAGCGGCAGCGTTCTGGCTCGAATACGAGTGGAACGATGACGGTGAGACCGTGGAGAAGGAGCTCCTCGTTCAACTGCTCATCGACCCAAGGAAGGTCTGCGACATCCCGGCGTGGGAAAGATATTACAACCATCGCAGTCTCACTCGCGATGGTGTGGACGACATCAAGGGTGCGATGCTGCGGCAGTTCCACGAGGAAAAGTGGAAGATCTGGACAAAATACCCTTTGGTTCTGGCACCCATCACAAAGATGTCTTCAAGCCAGAGGACAAGGACAAGTACATTTATTACCCTGTCAACGGGCAACACACCGTGGCTGCTGTAAAGGAGTTGGCCGGTGACCAAATATTCAAATTGTGGAAGATGCACTCGTGGCCGGCCAGAGTAGTCTGGTTCTCCGACGAAGACTTCGAGGGGTATTTGCAGGTCAGTCTCACGGAGAACACAAGGCACAAAATGTCTAAGCAGCGTGCGCAGAAGGCCGCTTTCGAGGACATGCGGGAGGCATGGGAGAATGAAGGAAGGCTGGTGGCCATTCAAGGGAACCCTTCTGGTAAGGAGGCCGAAAAACAAGCATTTTTCGAGTTCCAAAAACTGCTTTTGGGAAAGGGTCCGAACGAGGTTCACTGGACGATGGCACACAAAGCGACAACGCTCGCCGACAAGGAGCACGTCACCGCCATTGGCAATGCGTTGAGGCCGTGGATGCCGCTCGTGACGGCCAGCGATGACATTTTCCGCAAAGGCATGGAGTTCTACGAGAAATGGGCCAAGGGGAAGTTGCTGGGCGGTGACGGGAAGACCCCCTTATCGAAGCCGGGCAAATACATGCCAGACAAATCTCCGGGTCTTCAAGCAATTCCGGAAATGGGCTCGAAAGAGGCGGCTGGTGAAACGAAGATGGGGTGGCTGGTCTGGGTCCCGCTGCCTTCAACCAAAAAGAAAATGCAGTCGGACGACAAGTTTTTCTTCGTCGTCAAGGAGCCGGACATGTTCTGTTGGCGGTTATGTTTCCCCTTGGCCACGACCGAATTCGGCCACGGCCGCGGCCGCCGATCGTGGCCGGGACCCCCCCGATCGCGGCCGCTCTAGTTGAGAACTTTCGGCCGCGGCCACGGCCGAAATGGGAGGGGGTTCGGGGGGCAGGGAAGGGGTTTCGAGTAGGGGGGGGCTCCCCTACCCCCTCGCAAAAAAAAAAACATAAAAACTTCAAAAACGGGGGG